TACTGGTCCTTTAAAAATGCGACGTCTGTTAGGATTCATCCGTTGAATATACCCAAAGTGGTGAAGGGTATCATATAGTTTCCTTACTGGTTTTTCCCTTGGTTCAATGAGATAAAATTTCTTCTATATTTTTCTATAGAATTATCCTCTTCTTGCGCCCGAAGTTCTAGACATGTTGCTATAGTTTTTCAAAAATAAAAAGAATATTGTATTTTTTCATTTCTTTTTTCATACTACCCACTTTCAGACATTGTTACATTATTTCTTTTCATTTCATACACTCATATCTTGTTGACATGTGTGCGTGTGTTGCGTTGTGTTGCCATTAAATGTCCAGATTTCTTTGACAACTTTTTTTCTTGCCACAATATTTTTTTATTTTTTTGTCTTCCTCACTCAACCGCAACATATATGTATTTCAACAATGTGTTGCAATCGTTCTCTTTTTCCGGTCAACTTAGTTTTTTTTTCGACACTATTTCTTCTTCTTGTTCTCTACATCAACAAATTATTTTACACAGTGGCGTTTTGTTTATTTTTTCATTATTTTATAGTATTTTTTATTTGTTTTTTTTTTTTTATTCGAAGTTAACTTCAATTTTTTTCATTCATAATTTTTTTCGAGATAAATTTGTTTTCGATTCCCTCTTCTTTCAATCTCCCCCATACCCTTTTTATTTACTACATTTATCGATATGCACCCACACACACATGCATTCATACATTCTTCAATTTATTCTTTGTGTTCTTGAAGAGTCGATGCGTCAGTCAATCAGCCAATCGCAAAGTGTGAATGATTTCATTCATGTTCGACATGAAGCATGAACATGATGAATCGCACTCAGTATTGGCAAATTTTTTATGGCTTCATTTTTCGGATTTTTTTCTCAATCAGAAAACAGGGTGGATTTTTTTCGAGAAAATAAAAATATACTTTTCTAAAAAAATAGGCTACATAAATGGGGCTGAGGAATAGCAGATTTTTTTTCTCCAGGCCCAACTGGGGTTTAAATTTTCTATGGAAAAAATGTCCTCAGGCCTCTTAAGGTGACAAAATTTTCATCACCCCATCTGAAGTGATATTTTTCTATAGAAAAAATGTCCTCAAGCCCACCTAAGGTTGTATTCTTCTCAGGGGTCCTATGACATTTTTTCTATAGAAAAAAAAATTTTTTATAAAAATGTTTTCCTTTGGAAAAATATTTCCCCAGGGACGTAAGGTTATATTTTTCTATAATTTTTTTTTTCCTCAGGATCCTTGATGTTATAATTTTCTGTAAAAAAATGCAGGCTCCTGAGTTGATAATTTTTATAATTTTTTTTTTCAAGAACCCTGGGTGGATATTTTTCTTTAGAACATTTTTCCTCAGACCTCCTGAAAATTTGTCATCAGGCACTCTGGTTATAACTTTCAAACTAATTTTTTTCTCAGGCCTCCTGAGGTTGTATGATCTAAAAAAAATTTGTCATCAGGACCTCTGAGGTTGTATTATTTATTATTTTCAATAGAAAAATTTTTCTCAGGCCTCCTGAGGTAATTTTTTCTATGAAAAATTGTTCAAATGTCCCCTCTGAGGTTATAATTTTCAAACTAATTTTTTTCCTCAGGCCTCCTGAGGTTCTATTTTCTAACAAAAATTTGTCATCAAGACCTCTGAGGTTGTATTATTTATTATTTTCTATAGAAAAATTTTTCTTATGCCTCCTGAGGTAATTTTTTCTATGAAAAATTGTTCAAATGTCCCCTCTGAGGTTATAACTTTCTAACTAATTTTTTCCTCAGGCCTCCTGAGGTTATATTTTCTCTCAGGCCTCCTGAGTTTATATTTCCTATGAAAATTTTTTCATCAGTCCCCTCTGAGGTTATAATTTTCTAACTAATTTTTCCTTAAGCACCCTGAGGTTATATTTTCTATAGAAAAATTTCCTCAGTTCGCTTGAGGTCGTATTTTTCAGGCATTCTGAGGTTATATTTTCTTTAGAAAAATTTTCCTCAGGCGTCCTGAGGCCCTTTTTAATGAAAAATGTTTCCTCAGTTTTCCCGTAGGTTATAATTTTTATAATCAGGCTGTGCAGACGGTTATAATTTTCTATAAAAAAATTTTCCGTCAGGCCAGTCTGGGGGTTATAATTTTCTATAGAAAATTTTCCCTCAAGCCAGTCTGAGGGTTATAATTTTCTATAAAAAATTTTCCGTCAGGCCCCCAGCCTGAGGGTTAACATTTTCAATAGAAAATTTTCCGTCAGGCCTCCTGAAAAGATGACCTCGGAGGTCATAATTTTTTATAGAAAAAAATTATCAGGCCTCTGAGGCTATAATTTCCTATAGAAAACTTTTCAATAGGTCCCCCGAGGTTATACTTTTTTATGGTTTTTTTTTCTCAGGCCCTCCTGAGGTTCCTTAGATCTCTGATAGAAAAATAATTAAATTTTGTATATTTAAATCCGTGGCACCCTGTACACCTTATCATTCATTTTGAAAAGAGAACTTTCAAAACAGAGAGAGTAAAGACGACACCAGCCAACCCTCCTCAGAGCAAACCATAAACGAAGTCAATGTGCTGAGCCAGCCCCATCAAGTAAACAAGCAAACTTAGTGATTAATTCAATTTATGAACCGCAAAGTGAAACATTTAAAGTTTTGTTTTTAACAGAGAAGACATAATTGAAACAAAAACAACAACACCAACAAAAAATTAGTAGTAGGAAGAGATGCAAAATATAGGCAATTAACGCCTTCGCTATTAGACAAAAATTTTAACAACGAGAGATTCGCCATCCACCACCGCCAACAGCACAGCACTGCACTGCATCACACATCAGTGGCAACGATAGCTGCTGACAGTTAGAGGCTCCGCAAAGCTGTAGTAATTTTTTGAAATTTTTGTTGTTGTACAACAAGACAAAGATAATTTTTCTTTTGTGGAAAAATATTGCAAAAAAAAAATCTGCTAAACAAAACAAATTGCCAACCCGCCACCCATCAAGCCCACCCAACTCCCATCCCTGCAATGTTAAATTCAACTGATAAAGCTGCAACAACAACAACAACAGCAAAAGTCGTTGCTGTCATCTTTTCAATAAGAAAACAAAAACATTGAATACGAAGAAGTCAAGTGAAGCGAACGAGTGATTTGATTCAGGCTGCGGAAGGCCCATCATCCTCATCATCACCATCCGCCAAGGAAACCGCCAAGTTCAAGAAACCGCAGTAGTACTCGGAAGTCCGTGTGTGTGTGTGAGTCTTTGTGGACAGACGTAGTTTGAACAAATGTTTCTGAAAGGTCCCATGGCGACGACGTTGGCGGCGGACAGTAGTTTTGTGGATGAAGTGCTTAAAGATATTTTGGGTTTGAAAAATGATTGTGTTAGTATTGAGAAAAAAAAACAACAACAAAAAATAAAAAAATCCAATACAAATAAATTTCAAAAAAATTTCTCAGGACCTTATAGATCATTTTCCGTCAGGTCCACTGAGGTTATAATTTTCTAAAGAAAAATTGATTCTATAGAAAAAATTCCGTCAGGACCCTGAGGAGACTTTTTCTATAGAAAAAATTTCCTCAGGCCCCCTGAGGAGACTTTTTTCTACAGAAAAAAATTCCTCAGGCCCCCTGAGGAGACTTTTTCTATAGAAAAAATTTCCTCAGGACCCTGAGGACGACTTTTTTCTATAGAAAAAATTTCCTCAGGACCCTGAGGACGACTTTTTTCTATAGAAAAAATTTCCTCAGGACCCTGAGGACGACTTTTTTCTATAGAAAAAATTTCCTCATCACCCTGAGGACGACTTTTTTCTATAGAAAAAATTTCCTCAGGACACTGAGGACGACTTTTTTCTATAGAAAAAACTTCCTCAGGACCCTGAGGACGACTTTTTTCTATAGAAACAATTTCCTCAGACCAAACCAGGAGACTTTTCTATCGAAAAAATTTCCTCAGACCACCTGAGGAGACTTTTTTCTATAGAAAAAATTTCCTCAGACCACCTGAGGAGGCTTTTTTCTATAGAAAAAATTTCCTCAGACCACCTGAGGAGACTTTTTTGTATAGAAAAAATTTCCACAGACCACCTGAGGAGACTTTTTTGTATAGAAAAAATTTCCTCAGACCACCTGAGGAGACTTTTTTCTATAGAAAAAATTCCGTCAGGACCCTGAGGAGACTTTTTTCTATAGAAAAAATTTCCTCAGGCCCCCTGAGGAGACTTTTTTCTATAGAAAAAATTCCGTCAGGACCCTGAGTAGACTTTTTTCTATAGAAAAAATTCCGTCAGGACCCTGAGTAGACTTTTTTCTATAGAAAAAATTTCCTCAGGCCCCCTAAGGAGACTTTTCTATAGAAAACATTTCCTCAGACCACCTGAGGAGACTTTTTTCTATAGAAAAAATTTCCTCAGACCACCTGAGGAGACTTTTTTCTATAGAAAAAATTTCCTCAGACCACCTGAGGAGACTTTTTTCTATAGAAAAAATTTCCTCAGGCCACCTGAGAAGACTTTTTTCTATAGAAAAAAATTTCCTCAGGCCCCATGAGGAGACTTTTCTATAGAAAAAAATTTCCTCAGGCCCCATGAGGAGACTTTTTTCTATAGAAAAAAATTTCCTCAGGCCCAATGAGGGGACTTTTTTCTACTTTTTTCCTCAGGCCCCCTGAGTAGACTTTTTTTCTGTAGAAAAAAATTCCTCAGGCCCCCTAAGGAGACTTTTATTCTATGGAAAAAATTTCCTCCGGCCTCTGAAGAGACTTTTTTCTATGGAAAATAATTCCTCAGGCCTCTATAGAAAAAAAAAAATCCTCAGGCCCCCTGAGCTGAGGACTTTTTTTCTATGGAAATCGATCAGTTCCTGTGGACCTTCTATCTTTTTCTATATTTTTAATTATTTTATTTATTTTTTATTAAATATTTATTTTTTTAATTCAATATTTTATTTTAGAAATTTTTTCAAACATTTTTTTAATTTTTACTAATTTTTACCTTTCCCATTTTTTCATTACAGCTGCAAATCCTACAGCAGCAAGTCACTGATCTGGCCGATACTCAAGTCATAGCAGAAGATCGCACCACACGCACAAGAACCGAATATGCTGTACTGCAGGCACGTTATGACATGCTCGAAGAGCAGCTCAGAGAAGTAAGTCCGAACAAATGTCCCCCTCACAAAAAATCCATAACTAATTCCAAAATTTCGTTCTTTCTTCCTCACAGACCGAATTGCGAGCCGAAGAACGCCTCGCCGAAGAACAAAAACGCAACCGTGAGCTATTGGCACGCGCCGAACGTGAAGCCTCCTTGCAAAATGAAAATTGTCAAATAAAAATCAAAACCATCGAAATCGAAGCGAATGCTTTGCGCGAAGAGAATCAACGTTTGCGTGTTCTCTGTGATAAACAAGCCAATGATTTACATCGTACCGAAGAGAAATTGGAATTGGCCCGTGACCGGATCGCTTCACTGCAACAGGATTTAGATGAGGCCTTGCAAAAGGAGCGAAAATATGAACAGGAAAAGAAAACTTCAGAGGAATTAATGTTGGAACTGAGCAAGGAGTTGGAACGTTTAAGGGCCGAGACAGGGCCGGCAATGCCCACAACATCACCCGAAGCCATAAGACTGGAGGAACTGCATCAGGAGCTGGAAGAAATGAGACAAAGGAATAAGGGTATATTAGACCTCTCTCTTCTACTTTTTTTTGTAAAATTTTATTAAATATTATCCCTCCTCTTTTTTAGGTTTGGAAGAACAAAACGAGGAATTGCAAGCAGCTGTCTTAACACGTGGCGTTGAAGAGGGCCGTCATCTGTTGAATGGCACCCTCAACAGTTTGGCTCAAGAACTTGAAGAAATGTCACAAGCCCAGGTAGGAGTCGATTGCCTATTTCTTCCCTTTCATCATAATGCAATTTTGATATGAGCACAATATCCCGCTATCATTTGTGAAAAGTTTTCGCCGCAGCACCCTCAAAAAAAACAGCTCGCCACATTTTTTTAGTTGCAAAGCTTAAGCTAAAAACCACTTAAGGCCTCTCTAGCTGTACCTCATGCTTGTCCTAGAATAAGCTATTAAAAAACATTATTATCAGGCCGCTGAGCGATATTTTTTTCTATAGAAAAACATTGTTCAGGCCCCTGAGAAAGGTTTTTTTTCCTAAAGAAAAAAATTGCTTCCGTGATTAAGTTTTTTCTGTAGAAAAAATTTGCTCAGCCCCTAAGCGATACTATTTTTTATAGAAAAAATCGTTCAGTCCCCTGAGCGATACTTTTTGCTCAGGCCCCTGAGGAGTTATTTGACTAAAGAAGAAATTTCATCAGGGGCCTGACAATTTTTTTCTATAAAAAACCATCCTCAAAAAATCTATTCAACTCTATAGAAAAAAATTGCTCAGTCCCCTGATGAAGGACTATGGTAAAAATTTTGCTCAGGCCCCTGAGGAAGGTTTTTTCTATAGATAAAATTAGCTCAGACGCACAGTGGGCGAAAAGGCTCATCTAGCGGCGTCTAGACGCCTGAGAAATGTTTTTTCCATAGACAAAAATTTTTATTTATCTGAGAATAGTTTCTCTATAGAAAACTAGCTCAGGCCCCTTGTGGTAGGTTATTGCATATAGAAAAAAATTGCTCATGTCCCTGAGGAGTTTTTTATATAGAAAAAATGCTTAGGTCTCTGTGGATAGTTTTTTATAAAAATAATCGCTCAGGCCCATGAGGAAATTTTCTATAGTTTTTTTTATAGAATAAATGCTGAGGCGTTAAAGGAAGTGTTTTTTTCTGTAGAAAAAAAAATGGTAGGCCCCAGAGAGATACTATTTTCTATAAAAAACGTCATTATCCTGAGAATACTTTTGTTTATAGAATGATAAATAATATAATGAGGAAGGTTTCTTCTATAGAAAAATACTTGATCAGATCCGCCGGAGGATGCTTTACAATAATCGGCCAGGTTTTTGTGTAGCCCCCATAGTACAGTACCCTCAAAATTTCCGTTTGAGAATTTTTCAGTCACGCTTTCCAACCGATTTGCCTATAATTTGGTAGTTTTGGTTCTGGTTAGGCGGAAAACTTTGCTATAAAAAATTATCTATATCGGTGTACGTTTTGGTGTAGCCCTCATAGAAGATTACTTTCGAATGTTCGATATTTTGAGGATTTAAGGCAGATTTTTTAACCGAATTTGCTCTTATGTGATATTTAAGCCTCTCATAGGGTATTTAAAGGTCTTACAAAAATTATTGATATCGGTCCACTTTTTCTTATAGTCTCCATATAACTGACCCGTTTTTCAACCGATTTGGCTCTAATTGTATATTATGGGTTCTCATTGGGTTGCAAGTCATCCTACCAAAAATTATCAATATTGCTCCATGTTTAGATATAGCTCTCATATAACGTTACCTCCCAATTTTCGATATTATGACGATTTCGTACACGTTTTTCAATCGATTTGGTTCTTATTTTATATTTTGGTTTCACATGGATTGACAAACCTCCCTACAAAAAATGATCAATATCGGTTTTTAGTTTTAGTGTAGGTCCCATATAGGGGTACCCTCCAACTTTAGGTATTTTAAGGATTTCCGACAAGTTTTTCAACCGAATTGACTCTATTCGATATTTTCGGTTCGCGTTAAGTGGAAAACCTGTCTACCAAAAATTAATCATATCGGCCCATGTTGAAGTCTTGCTCGGATCCCTCTAATTTCCGATATTTTCGCCCCCTTTTTCAACGGAATGGGATCGCATTTAATATATTGGATTTACGGATGTCTTATTTTTCTGCCACTGGCAAAGCTTTTTGGCCCACTAGAAATATTTTTGAATAAAAAAAATGATCGGTCACCCCAGATTTTGGTCGGTGCTCCTGGGGATTTGTTTAAGACTTTTATTGTCAGCATCCTTAGAATATTTTGTCCATATTTTTTCGAGAAAAAAGTCCTACGCTTGATCCCTGAGCCTACTCTTTTTCTGTAGATATATTTTTTGTTGTACAAAAAATTAAAAAGGCCCTTGACAATAATTTTAACAAGGCCCAGAAAATATGTTTTTGTATAGAAAATTACTCCGGCTTCCATGAAAATTTGTTAAAAAAAAGAACTGAGGCCTTCTGAGTATGATATTTTGAGAAAGCAAAGAAAATGTTCAGTCACCCTGAGATTAATTTTTCCGAGGCCTTTTTCTATTTTCCGGCTGCTAAGGGAAACTTTCTATAAATAAAAAAGTTAAAAAAAACTGCTAAGGTTCATTTGACTAATTTTCTCCCTAAAATAAAATTTGTTCGGGAACCTACAAATATTTTCTCCTCCAAAACATTTGGTCATGCTTCAAAAAACAATTTTTTTTCATACGAAAAGTTTCTAAGACCCTGAAGGGTATTATATTTAAATATTTGAGGATATATTTAAAAAAAAACATTACCGCAAGCTCTAAAGGATTGCCAGTCCTCCTGAGATTGATTTTTCGGAAGCTTTTTCTATTTTCCGGCATCCGAGGGAAATTTTCTATAAATAAAAAAGTTTAAAAACAGCTAAGGTCCGTAAGACTATTTTTCTCCACAGGAAAAAATATGCTCGGGAACCTGAGAAAAATTTCTCTTACAAAAATTTTTGTCTTGCCTCGAAATATTTTTTTTTTTCAAAAATGTTTATTAGACCCTGGAGGATATGATATTTTTGTTAATATGAAATAAGTAGGATGCTCATAGCTCATAAAAAAAATACTAGTCCCCAGTCCAGAAAAATAATATTCCTAAAAGTATTCTTAAAAAACTTCACGAATACTATTTAGAACCTAAATCCTTTTGAAATAAAGATTACTACCATCTTATTAAAATCCTTAGAAATTATTTTACAAAATCCTTTATTGAAGCACTCCCTGAAAAATTTTCTACAAAATCCTTTATTGAAGCACTAATGGTCCTTGAGAAATTCCTGCCTTGTAGAAAGGCTTCTTCATTTTCCAAAATACCTCAAGAAGTTCTCCTAAGGTCATTATTATTAAAATCTTCCTTTAATCCCAACAATTCAAATTCATTACCAAATCAAAGCACCACCCACCGAATTTCATCTGCATGTTTTGAAATTATTTACCTAACCTACATTCCATTTTTATTTTAAAATAACCCAAACCACATTGTTTTGTCCTTGTTTTATTAAAATTATCCTTTGTTTGTTTGCAAGCTTATGCAAGGAATTTTTTTTTTAAATTCCAAAATTTTGTTTATCACATCGAAAATATATTTTCATTTTTTTTTCTTTCTTCTTTTTATGTTTTTCATAATCGAAAAAAAAACAATTCCAGGATTCTGTGGATTCAGCCACATTAGCATCCTTAAGTCAGGTAATATTTGAAATAAAATGGATACCACCATCAATTCATATTTAAATGGTTTCATGTTTGTTTAAGTGTTCTATATTTTTTTTTGGTTAAGGAGTGTCATTATTATTAAAACCCTACATTTTTTTTCATTACAAATCATAAACCATTATTTTTTTGTGTTGAAAAATATAACTAACCTCTGGAATGCATTTTAAAAAAAATATTTAAAAATTTATGAAAAATCTGGAATGCAAAAATATTTAAAATTAAGGGAAATTGGTGAAATGTTTGGATTTGGGTGGAAGTTTTCAATTTTTTGTTAAATGTTTTTTGTTAATATTTTTATTGTTATTGTGTTTTTTACTAATTTTTAATCTATTTTTTCTTTTTATTTTATTTTTTCTTCTTATAGTTACAACAAGCCTTCCAAGAAAAAGAGGAAGAAAACACCCGCCTTAGACATTACATCGATACCATACTTTTGAATATTGTGGAGAAATGTCCTCAACTATTGGAAGTGAAAGCCATAAACAACAACAATAATAATACTAAAAAATAATATTAATAAATAATACAAATAATAATAATTACAATAACAAAACAACACAATCAAGGCCAATTATATTTAAAAAAAAGTTTTAATAATAATTATTATATTTTTTAGAGAACAAAAAATAAAAAAAACACTACTTCTTTTTTTAAAAAAATACAAAAAATGTAATTATATACAATAAATAAAAAAGAAAAACATAATATTCATTCAAATAGATTTTATGTTTTTTTGTTTTTCAAATAGTCCATAAGTTATTAGTTAACAACTCCCTTTACACACAACTATTACCACTCACTCACTTAATAATTATAAAACAAAAATAAATAAATAAAACAAATTTAGTTAATAAGTTAAATTATATACAAAACCCTAAATCATTATGGCATGTATCTCTAACATAACCTTAAATAATTAAATTTTTAGTATAGCTGAAAAAAAATCAAAATTTTATATATATACACATAGCTTTTGTAAAAAGTCAAAACCAACAAAATTTCCAAATTTTTTATATATACTTCTATTTTCTTTGTTAAATGTTAATAAGCTTTATATTTGTCTTTAACTTTTTTTCTTTAATTTTGTTTGTAACAAAAATGTCTATTATCTTTTTCTTTTGTATACAAAAATTAGTTTAAATTATTGGTTAAAACCATCATACACACAAAAACAAAATTAAGGCAACCCTTTATTGTTAATTTGTAATCTGTAAACTACTTTATATATATAAATACATACATACAATATAATTTTTCTTTTATTTTTTAAATAAAACTAATTGTTAATGTAGTCATTATAATATTATTATTTTTTGTGAAAAAAATACAAACAAATAAGAAAAAATATATATAAATAATTTTTATTAGAAAAAAAAACTAAAAAAAAAATTGTGGGATATTTTTGATTGGACACACATCATAATATTTTTTTCAAATTTAAATCAGGTTCGAAGATGAGGAATATTGTATTATGTAGGCCTTTCAAAAAATTCTACGCCCTTTATATGGCCTCAAAAAAATTATTTTTAAAAAATTCCACGCCTTTTGTAGGCCTAAAAAAATAATCCTTTAAAAATTCCACGCCCTTTATTTGGCCTCAAAAAAAAAAATTCTTACATACATCCACGCCTTATAATAGGTCTTAAAAAATTATTTCAAACATCCACGCCTTATAATAGGTCTTAAAAAATCCTTTCAAACATCCACGCCTTATAATAGGCCTTAAAAAATTCTTTCAAACATCCACGCCTTATAATAGGCCTTACAAAAATTTCTTTCAAACATCCAGGCCCTTTAATAGGCCTTACAAAAATTTCTTTCAAACATCCAGGCCCTTTAATAGGACTTAAAACAGTTCTCTCAAATATCCACGCCTTATTGTAGGCCCTAAAAACTTCTTTCAAACATCCATGCATTATATTAGGTATACTAGGCCTTAACATCCACGCCTTATAATAAACCTTAAAAAAATTCTTTCAAACATCCACGCCTTATAATAGGCCTTCAAAATAATCTTTCAAACATTCACACCTTATAATAGGCCTTAAAAAATCTTTCAAATATACACGCCTTATAATAGGCCTTAAAAAAATATTTCAAACATCCACGCCTTAAAAAAAGTATTTTAAACATTCACGCCTTATAATAGGCCTTGAAAAACTATTCTTTAAAAAATCTACGCCTTATATTAGGCCTTAAAAAAATTCTTTCAAACATCCACGGGCTATGATAGGCATCAAACAAATTCTTTCAAACATCCACGCCTTATAATAGGCCTTAAAAAATTCTTTCAAACGTCCACGCCTTATAATAGGCCTTAAAAAGGTTTTGAAAAACTATTCTTTATAAAATCCACGCCTTATATAGGCCTTTAAAAAATCCACGCCTTAGAAAGGTCTTGAAAAACTATTCTTTAAAAAATCCACGCCTTATATAGGCCTTTAAAAAATCCACGCCTTAGAAAGGTCTTGAAAAACTATTCTTTAAAAAATCCACGCCTTAGAAAGGTCTTGAAAAACTATTCCTTAAAAAATCCACTCCTTAGAAAGGTCTTGAAAAACTATTCTTTAAAAAATCCACGCCTTAGAAATGTCTTGAAAAACTATTCTTTAAAAAATCCACTCCTTAGAAAGGTCTTGAAAAACTATTCTTTAAAAAATCCACGCCTTAGAAATGTCTTGAAAAACTATTCTTTAAAAAATCCACGCCTTAGAAAGGTCTTGAAAAACTATTCTTTATAAAATCCACGCCTTATGTAGGCCTTGAAAAAAGGGTTTATAAAATCCACGCCTTATGTAGGCCTTGAAAAAATCCACGCCTTATGTAGGCCTTGAAAAAATCCACGCCTTATGTAGGCCTTTAAAAAATCCACGCCTTATGTAGGCCTTTAAAAAATCCACGCCTTATGTAGGTCTTTAAAAAATCCACGCCTTATGTAGGCCTTTAAAAAATCCACGCCTTATGTAGGCCTTTAAAAAATCCACGCCTTATGTAGGCCTCAAAAAAATATACTTTAAAAATTCCAAGCGTAAATATGTTTTGGAAAAATATTTTAAAAAGCCATACCTTGAAAAAAATCTTCGGGTCTATTAGCAGTTGAAAAAATATTCTTTAAACAATCCTTGCTCTATTGAAAATTGGATAAACATTCCTTAAAAAAAATCTCCACCCTTTTTGGGCCATACAACTTTCCTTAAAAATATCCATCCGAGGGATTTTCATTAAAAATTATAAAAAATTCCAATAATACATATTTTCTCTCATAATTTAGTGTTCCCCATTAAAATTACATTTCTTCCCCTGTCCAATAGTGAAAGTTTCATTCAAATCTGTCCATGCATTGCCGAGTTATGGCCATTTCAATTTAACCCTGTGTCAAAAATATCGCTGCTACATGATTCTGTTTGCCTGGTATGGCAAATGGAAAAACTGAAGAAACTACAACTCCACAAAAACAGAAAAATCCAGAGGATGATATGTTGCCAGATTGTTTATTTTGTGTTTCTTTGTTAGATTGCAAAAATTGTGAGCATACTTTTAGGCGTTAGTTGTGGTACATTAGTGCATATCTTTCATCTTTCAGATAATGGCAATTTTCTCTTATATAACATAAGTTTATATATCTATTGGCAATATGGAATAAAACTTTAGACTTCCCTCCAACTATTTTTGAAAAATTCATTAAAATCGCTTAAGTTGTCGCTGAGTTATTTGCATTTGAATTCATCAATCTTATAGCGCAGGCGAAATAAATTCAAGCCACCTTTTGGTTTTGTAAGTGCCTGAAAATATGCTTTAAAATTTATTTTTTTTTCTAAATTACATGTGGATAGCGCCATCTAGTGATACGCATGACTGCAAATCGCTAGACAAAAACTGAAAAGAAAAAAAGTTTCCAGTTTTTCTCATATCTTTAAATTACAAAAATCGATATTTTCCAACAATTTAAGGGCGATTTCGTACGGATTTGAACGGTATCGTTTAGAGAACATCTGAAACTATTGTGTTAAAAACTTTTTATGCATTTTTATTTGGACCTTCACAATAAAAATTAATGTTTATTGAAGCCTTAATGGATGGACTTTTTTTAGGATTATTTTTTCAAGGCCTACATAAGGCGCGGATGTTTTAAAGAGTATTTTTTCAAGGCCTACATAAGGCGCGGATTTTTAAAGAGTATTTTTTCAAGGCCAAAATAAGGCATGGATTTTTTTGAAGAGTATTTTTTTCAAGGCCAACATAAGGCATGGATTTTTTTTTTGAAGAATATTTTTTCAAGGCCTAATATAAGGCGTGGATTTTTTATAGAATATATAATCAATGTCTACATAAGGCGTGGATTTTTTTTGAAGAATATTTTTTCACGGCCAACATAAGGCATGGATTTTTTTTTTTGAAGAATATTTTTTCAAGGCCTAATATAAGGCGTGGATTTTTTATAGAATATATAATCAATGTCTACATAAGGCGTGGATTTTTTTTTGAAGAATATTTTTTCAATGCCTACATAAGGCGTGGATTTTTTTGAAGAATATTTTTTCAATGCCTACACAAGGCGTACTTTATTTAATGTATTATTTTTAAATGGGAATATGTTGAATTCTGCGACACCTCTCGAAAAATATGATGGACCTGTAAAGAAAAAAAATATAGGGTAAGAAGAATGGATATGAAGGAAATTAAAAAAATATTTTTATAAACTAACTTAACTTTGGAAAGAGTGGATTTTTTTAATAATTTTTTTCTGAATACCTCACAAGGTTTTAATTTTTTTAAATAATTTTTCCTGAGTACCCCCACAAGGCGTGGATTTTTAAACCATTTTTTTCTGAGTACCTCCTCAAAGCGTGGATTTTTTAAATAATTTTTTGGGGCTTTTTTTTCTGAGTACCTCCACAAGGCGTGATTTTTTTAAATATTTTTTTTTCTGATTACCTCCTCGAGGCGTCGATTTTTTAAATAATTCTTTTGGACCTATTTTTTTGAGTACCTCCTCAAGACGTAGATTTTTTAAATAATTTTTTGGAGCTATGTTTTCTGAGTACCTCCTCAAGGCGTGGATTTTTTAAATCATTTTTGGGGCTATTTTTTCTGAGTACCTCCGCAAGGCGTGGATTTTTTTAAAGAATTTTTTTCTGAGTACCTCCACAAGGCGTGGATTTTTTAAAGAATTTTTTTCTGAGTACCTCCACAAGGCGTGGATTTTTTAAAGAATTTTTTCTAAGAACTGTGCTCTATACAAGGCGTGGATTTTTTAAAGAATTTTTTCTAAGAACTGTGCTCTATACAAGGCGTGGATTTTTTAAAGATTTTTTTCTAAGAACTGTGCTCTATACAAGGCGTGGATTTTTAAAGATTTTTTTCTAAGAACTGTACAAGGCGTGGATTTTTTAAAGATTTTTTTCTGAGTACCTCCACAAGGCGTGGATTTTTTAAAGAATTTTTTTCTGAGTACCTCCACAAGGCGTGGATTTTTTAAAGATTTTTTTTCTGAGTACCTCCACAAGGCGTGGATTTTTTAAAGATTTTTTTTCTGAGTACCTCCACAAGGCGTGGATTTTTTAAAGAATTTTTTTCTGAGTACCTCCACAAGGCGTGGATTTTTTAAAGATTTTTTTTCTGAGTACCTCCACAAGGCGTGGATTTTTTAAAGAATTTTTTTCTGAGTACCTCCACAAGGCGTGGATTTTTTAAAGAATTTTTTTCTGAGTACCTCCACAAGGCGTGGATTTTTTAAAGAATTTTTTTCTGAGTACCTCCACAAGGCGTGGATTTTTTAAAGAATTTTTTTCTGAGTACCTCCACAAGGCGTGGATTTTTTAAAGAATTTTTTTCTGAGTACCTCCACAAGGCGTGGATTTTTTAAAGAATTTTTTGTACCTATTTTTTCTGAGTACCTCCTCAAGGCGTGGATTTTTTAAATAATTTTTAGGACTATTTTTTCTGAGTACCTCCACAAGGCGTGGATTTTTTAAAGAATTTTTTTCTGAGTACCTCCACAAGGCGTGGATTTTTTAAAGAATTTTTTTCTGAGTACCTCCACAAGGCGTGGATTTTTTAAAGAATTTTTTTCTGAGTACCTCCACAAGGCGTGGATTTTTTAAAGAATTTTTTCTGAGGCGTGGATTTTTTAAAGAATTTTTTCTGAGGCGTGGATTTTTTAAAGAATTTTTTCTGAGGTGTGGATTTTTTAAAGAATTTTTTTCTGAGTACCTCCACAAGGCGTCGATTTTTTAAAAATTTTTTTTCTGAGTCGTGGATTTTTTAAAGCATTTTTTTCTGAGGTGTGGATTTTTTAAAGAATTTTTTTCTGAGGCGTGGATTTATAAAGAATTTTTTTCTGAGGCGTGGATTTTTGAAGAATTTTTTTTCTGAGTCGTGGATTTTTTAAAGTTTTTTTTTCTGAGGCGTGGATTTTTTAAAGAATTTTTTTCCTCATCAAGGCGTGGATTTTTTAAATAATTTTTGGGGTTATTTTTCCTGCCTACAATTTTATATAATTTGTTTTAATATTTAATTATTTTTATTATAATCACTATTAACCTAAACTATCCTAACCAAAAATTTGCGTTAACAAAAAGGACAATCGAAATAAATGAATCAAAATAATGTAAGAGCGAAAAAAACACCATTGAAACAATTGTTAATAAAAAATAATAAATTAAATAATTATTAATAATAAATTATATATAAAAAATTGTGTATATATAAAAAATAGTTAAATAAATTATTATATTAAACAATTAAGTTAAACTAAACAACGAAAAAGAAAATTCATTAACGTGCTCATTAATCCAATTGACTCTACTACCGCAATGGTTTGTAAACAAAAAAACTAAAGCATACTTTGAGGCGCTAGCAATGAAAATCGCCCATTTTAAACAGCAACTGTGACAAATGAAATAAAAAAATGTATTTAATTATATTAAACCAGTCGGCACTTATTAAAGAAAGCAAGAATTTATGACTACATGTACATACATATATAAATATGTGTCTGTATGTCAATGAAATGTAATGTAAATATATATAAATATATTAATTAATGAACAAAAATAACCAATAAAGAAGAAGAAACATTTTTAAAGCGAATTTTTAAAAATAAAGCAAAAAACAATTGTATTATGTGTTTTCAGTTAAGGGGAAAGGGGGGGAGTAAGAGGAAGACAAAAAGGTAAAGATGGTGTAGGTGTAAAGAAATATATTTTAGAATGCTCTTCGTAAACGTCTGGCAAGAAATTCACGTGACGTCAATGTGATCTGTATCAGACATTTTTTTAAGGATAAATTTAGACTGGAAATGAAAGGAAGAAAGTGTTTAATTTTAGTTTGAAAGGGTGTGGTGAATATCGGAAATAAATTTCAATTCATATAAAAACTTCGAAGTACAAGTGGAGAACACAAACAGTCCATCAACAGCCTTAGACATAACAACATGCAGTTATTTGTGATATTTGTGGCAGGTATGGTCAAGATCCTTCCTGCTTAATAAGAATTTTTAATAAAAATTTTCAAATGTTTTCCTTTAGGTCTGCTGTCGATACAGGCAGCAACAGTGCCTCCAACCATCACCCACACAGTCAGTGTCAGTGTGCCACCAAATGTTGCGGTGGGTAAACAGGACTCTGCTGAGGTACCGGCCGTTGTTGTAGAGGTTACAAAGGACAATAAAATAGTTGAAGCCACTACAAACAAAAAAGTTAATGAAACCCCCGAGGAGCCCATGATGGTCACCACTCTGATTCAAAATGTTCTGGACATGGTGATGCCTACCAAAAACCCCTTAAATCCTTCATCCGTACCCACCGCCAAAGTTCCCGTTAAGCCTGCCTTATCAATTATACCACCCACATTGCCCTCCATAGTATTGGATCACGTTATAAAGCAAAGATCTGTAAGCGATCAACATGACCTTCAAAAGCAGGACAACGATGGTATTACTAAGCAGTCGGAAAATAAGGATAATCAAAACGACAACCATGACATGAAAGAAGGAGTGCAAGATCACTCAGTGAAAAAACGTACACCCGGTGATGATGATTATGGTCTAAACAATAATTGGGTAGAGCATGATTATGGCTGGCAGCAGGGTGGTTTTCAAGGTGACTCATCCTCATCATCTTCGGAGTCCTCTTCATCAGAAGAGGGATATGAAACCGTGATATCAGAGGTTATAACTCGTCCCCACATTAAAGATGAGGTGACAGTGCCGCATGTCACGACAACACCACCAATTACCATGGATATACGTAAGATCCATAAAAATTCGAATACAAGTGATCCCCATTCAAGAAGAATTAAACGTGAAGTAATGGCCAATAAACCAGTCGAAATTGCTCCCACAACTCAAGCCAACACAGAATCAGTTCAAGAAGTCACCACCTCCATGCCCCTGCCATCATCTACAACTACCTCAAAAATGTCTCTCCCTATGCCGCAGGCAACCACTGTGCCAGTGACCACCCCAATGTCCCCTGTGCATGCGGAAGTCAAATCCAAAATAAATCCCTGTGATCTGCTGTGCACAAAATTCGAACTGGAACCGGTTTGTGCCTCAAATGGCCTATGCCTTCATGAATTCCCCAATCAATGCATTATGGACACCTATAATTGTAAACATCCACGGGAGAAATTCACCGCCACCAAAGATGATCGCTGTCAAATGTATTGGCTGGAGAAGTGTCAGGATAGTGATCTGATCTGAAGGGGGAGTGGGGTTTGGGGTTCGTTACGTATTTTTTGTTAAATTTTGTGGAGCTTAGTTAAAACAATTTAAATAAATAAATCATTTTTAAAAATAGAAAAAAATATTTTTTTATCCTTTTGCCAGGCATTGGACGCCATTTTCAGTATTTACTATACATCTTGACGTTATATGCAAGATGTATATCAAATACTGAAACAATCAATAATTTCGTGTGATCTCTTATATTCTACTAAATCCCCAGGTGGTTAAAAATGTATTTTTCCCGACATTGGGCGCCATTTTCAATAAGATTTGTAATTATTTTATAAGAAATCCTTGTCTTCTCTAATATTAGCGAAAATCTTTAAATGATTTAAACCCTGTTCAAGAGAATATCCTCCACGTTGACAATGTGATGTCTAACCGGAATCCAATTTCACTTACCATACCTTCGAATGGCTCTCAAATTTAATCTTCTTTCTTAGACAGTCAGGAGATCTGCATTTTATCCCATTTACAAAATCCATCACAAAAAAATTCAGTTACGGAGCGTTCGAAGTCTAAATCCATAGATTTTGAACACACATAGTTTTGTGTTCAAAATGGACGGAATAGCCTAAGAATGGTCCTTCGTTCGCAATTTATAATCCACATTTAGATGTCGCCACACATGTAATGCAAGTGTTGGCAGAGTTTATTGAATAGCAAGATACAAAACCAAAATTCGAACTAATAACGCCATCTGCATCATACATCGAGGAGAAAAGCCTTTCTATGTTAAGTCGAATACCATCAATAAATGGCGCCTTCGACGAACACGAAACCTGTGTGGAAACTTTGGAATATATTGTACGAAACCCCTGCAATGTAAGTCACTTATTTAAACCACGAACCACAAACGCAACATTTCAGTGGTAACCCAAACACCAACTGAAGATGGCGCCCATAAGCATATTAGCGTGAATGTATTCCAATAACCCATAATTAATGGATTTAAAGAATATGTTTAAATCATCTAATGGCCGAGGATTGTTTACAAATTATTTTTTTATTTACCCAAATTCATGGATTTAAAAAATCACTATCACTATTCTAAGGAATAGACGATATAGATCCTCTTCTTCAACAGTCTAAGTATTCCCCCTCAGTCGGTATTTATTTTTCAACTGCTCCTAAATTTTAACTAAGAACAAAATATATATACAATTAAATCTGAGGCTTTTTAAATAACGGAATATCTTGAAATAATCAACTGCTACCGTAAATTTTAACCCAAATAACGAAAGAAGGAAAAATGGTCTTTCGACGACAAGTTAGAATCAACATTCAGATGTCGCCATGCATTAGTGAATGTCTCCAATAATGCCGGATATTAGATCTACTCTGCCATCAGTATTACGAAAGATGATTCGAAATATGATTCACCTCAAATATCAACAATATAAGACAGTCCTAAAGAAACAACAATTTGCATTACCGAAGTTAGATATTTTAAATCCTGAGACCTTCTGGGAAATTTCGGAACAAATCGAACTGAAAATCAGAAATGTAGGTCATTTATTAAATCCTCGAAGTCTGCCATGGATCACATCATACTGAAAATCAAACTACAGTCGACTGGGGCTCCCTATATACTGATGCAGCAGCTATCGCCAATTATAATACAGAAAATAATTAAAAACAGAAAATGGTACATCGATCATTATATAAAAGCTGCATGAAGATGTCGCCATGCATAAAATGTCTAGACTATCGCTATTTTAGGACTAATACCGCCATCTCTACTACGAAGTGTTGATAATAACTCATCTGTGTCATATCAAAGAGGAACAACAGATGGCGGCCCTTAACACATAAATGCCCCATTCCTAAACAACAGAGGTCGGCTCTAAAGAAATAAAATACCCCATTGCCGAAGATAAATATTATTCCGAGGAGGATCATCATCACACACCCGAAGGTGTTGCAGGGGATCAATTGAAATTAAAAATCAAGACAATGCTGACTGCGGCTTCCAATATATATCTCGAAATTTCAGTACCTACAATCGCTAACTTCAACAAAATAAATAATAAAAGAACAGAAAAGGTCCTTCGATCACTGTTTAAAAGCCACATGCAGATGTCACGATACCTAGGTAGGTTACAAAGTGATTAGAATAGCCCATCTGTGTCATATCAAATTGAAACAACAGATGGCAACCCTAAACAAATAAAAATATTTCATTGCTGAAGATAGGTACATATTGGCAAACCGCAAGTTTTTGAAGTGGATGATATATACCACTCGAATTTTCAATATTATTTAGGAGATAAAACTCATAGGGCGATGGTATAGGGATAGATCAGGATAGTGGTATATTTTAAGCATTTTGAGGCAATGACCAAGGATAAAAAGGATTACCAAATATATGCAAATAATCATCTAGAGAGTTAAACGGAATTTTTATGATCCACAAAGGATTTTTGAAGACGTGACATTTTCTAGCACCTACAATTTCCAGTGAATTCCAATTTAAAAATTAGGACCAAAAAATTGTTCGTAGATTTTTTTTAGATAATTGGTGGCAGCTCAAATGAATACAATTACAATTTTGTTCAGTGCCAGAGTCTGAAAAGAATTTTTTAGACTTCTGACCCATTTAAAATTATTTCAAAAAAGTTACCATAGTAGAGAAGAGGTCTTAGCTGAGATGTAGGGTCAGAAACTAATTGTTCGCTCTCCGACAATCATGAAGAAAATGAAAAATCGTCCTTTGAAAATATGGCTCATTTGCATGAACCGAAACGGAGTTCATCTTTTTAGCTGTTAATGGTCCTTCAAACGTGAATAAGCGTCATTTGAGGAATGTTAATCTTTTGTTAATGGATCACAGATTATATGACAAATATATTATCCCGAAATTGTAAGTAAAATTTTAAAAATATCAAATGAAAAATTAGAGATATGATTCATGTACTTAAATCATGAATCTCAGTGGCTGTCACGGATCAAATGAAACAGAAAATCAGAGCATCCATTAAAACATAATGCATTTCTCCATTAACCTAAAGCGAAGGCCCCATATATCCTCATTTTCAGGTGTCTGAAGATTCCATTTAATTTCATATTTATTTTTTTGTTTTTTTTTGCGGTCTTCCAAGTTATTTATAGTTCCCAACTTCCTGTCTTGCTTAAAAACGCTCTAGTTATTCTTCATTTTTTAATTAAGTTTTACTTTTTTGGGAACCAAAACTTGTTGCCAATAAATCTCGATAAAAAATTGTACTGTTTTGTCCGCACCATCTTATCCCCATCCAGTTGTGTGACATTGACATTGTTTAAAACCCGAAAAATAGAAACAAAAATTTCGAAAAGCACTTCCAGTTCATGTCATTGGCCAAATGACTGGCTGTCCCGAAACTGCAAAACCCAAACACAAAATATTTTTCAAAACAATTAAATTATGCCGGACATTAAAGGTGTTATGTAAGCTTACGCCCGAAACAGGCTGACGGCGATTTTAGATTGAAGATAACCACAACGGCGAGTCGAAAAACAATAAAGTTCAGATTTCAAAACAGGTTCAGAGCAGCAGCAACAACGCTGAAAATGGTAGTAAGGTGGAGGTATTGGCACATCCAATTAAGTGAAGTAACTCCGACGAAAAAAAGTCACAAAAAATGTTTCGAAAACCAGAAGGATATGATAGCAAATTGAGGATGATCGAAAAGGTATAAAACCCTATGACACGCAGGCTGCGAACTGCAGTCTTGTTAATATTGTTGCCGAAATTCATAACACTATGAAAGAAGTTCTAGTATTGTTGGGTAAGTTACAAGTGGATTTAAAAGAAGAAATAAAAATTTAAACCGAGATTTGTTACAGTTTTCTTTGGAACCACACATGCCAGAGCAGCTCCAGCCCAACAATCACACATTTCAAGGCCTCAAATAGCTGAAAATTTACCACAAACAGAAAATTTGTTGGCATACCAAAATGTGGATCGTTTTAGCCGAGATGTATCACATATATTGAAAATGGCGCCCAATGTGGGGCAAAAGGATTTTTTCAAACAACCTGGGGATTTGAAAAATAGTAAGACAGCTGAAGAACCTGTTGAAAGCCATGAATTGGTGAAAAGAAGTGATGTATTGAGTGCTGCGGGAAGCAGTGACTCAGTGGCGCCCAATCAGATAGATGATGATATGAACAGCAAAGCTATACCAGTGGATTCCTTAGATTTAAAAGCCAGCAATCTTCAAACCGATAAACTTGCTAAACGTGATGTATCTCATATATTGGAAAATGTGAACCCAGTGGCGCCCAACATTCAACAAGAAAATGTTGAGAACAAACTTTTTCCAGAGGAGTTAAGGATATTCCAAACATCCCAACCAACAATTGATGTGAATTTTATTCCAGTTCCAACACAAATGGCGTCCAACATAGCAACAGAAAATAGTCTCAATAATGAGCAGGAAAACTCATTGAACTCTGACAACCCCACTCTCTCAGGAGAACCCCAGCTACCTGATAAAATCATAAATGTGCTTTTTAATCCCAATGTAGCTGCTGACCCATTACCTGGCTCCGAAATAATCAAAGTACAAAAATCAGTGCAGATAAATATTCCGCAAACCTGTATGGCAACATTCAGGAGTGCACGTAATGTCATTCTGCGGCCCAAGCCCATTACGAATCTCTCGCTTATACAAGGTGTCTTAAATTGCCTGACCGATATCACGGAGGAAGAATTGAAGGAGGGACATCATCACACACCCGAAGATGTGGCAGAGGATGTAATACGCCATTCAGATTTTCAATATTATTTAGGTGACAAACATCATAGAGCGGAGGTGGAGGGAAGAAGTAATAATAAGGAATTGGAGGCTGTAACAAATGCGCCTCAAAGTCCAATCTATTTTGAGCATCCTCAGGCCAAGGATAAAATAGAGCAGCGAATGGATAATCCGGCAAATAATCATCTGGAGAGTGGTAGTAAGAATGAACCCTATTTTTATGATCCCCAAATATTACCTAATGATTTTCCAAGACGTGGCGTTTTCGAGGGACCACAATTTGCCGTCAATACCAAGACGCAGGTGGAGGAGAAAGGGGATGATGAGAAGCAACAATTGTTAGATGGCATTGCCAAGTTCCTAGAAATTTCCAGACAGGAAGAAGATTCAAATGGACTCAATAACATTTTACCTGGGGACAAGCAGGAACCTGAAAATAATTTTGGAAATACTGAGCCATTTAAAAATGAAAACATATTGCAAAAAACAGGTCGAAGCGTAGAGGAGGTCTCAGCTGAAATGGAGGTTGTGAAAAATTCAGAAAAACATCATCAGGAAATTGAAAAATCTTCTTTGGAACCTAGTCAGAATGTTGAAAGCTTGGAAATGGTTCCTGTGTCTCATTTGCAAGAACCAGAATCGAGTTCATCTTTGCTTGCTGATGATGGTCCTTCGACCGTAACTAAACGTCAAGTGAGAGATGTTTCCCATGTGTTAAAGAACCGTAGGTTACCACAGATTCCAAAATCAAATAAAAAAGAAAGTGATCCGATTTTCTCGGTGCAAAATTCTGCAGATGGTCCTTCGTCTTCCACGGTTTTGCGTCATGCCAGAGATGTTTCTCATTTGCTGTCTTCTCAGAAAGCGGAGGATCCTTCAAAATTACAAAGTCCTCTTCAAGAAATTCAAAAAGAAAATCAACAACTTGTATCAAAGCAAAATTCTGAAAATGGTCCTTCGACCTCCACGGCTTTGCGCCATACCAGAGATGTTTCTCATTTGTTGTCCGCTCCGAAATTGAAGGATGAAATGCAAAAAGAAAGTGATAAACTTGTATCGACTCAAGATTCTGAAAATGGTCCCACGGCATCAGTAAGTCGACATGCTGCAGATGTTTCATACTTATTATCTCCTTCTAAAGAAGTAAAATCTGGCAAGGAAACAATCGATGAGGCCAAAAGTTTAATCGCCAACCAGAATTCAGTAACAGAAGTAAGACCTTTGGAGAATTTTAGTGCAACGGAAGCTCCTTCACTTATTTTATCAAAAGAAACTAAAACCGAAACTTCATCCCTCGCCAATCAGGAGAGCAAAGATTTACCACAATCCACAACAAACAGTCCTCCTCAATTTCAAACAGTGACATCGATTGCCGATCCCAAATCCATAAATCAACTTGCCGTGGAAATAGTTACACCCACCTCACAAACTGCAGAACCTCGGACATCAGGGCCACTGGAAATTGATTCAACAATTTTATCTATAGGTCCTCAAATATCCGAATATCTTGAAGTAAATCAATTGTTGCCACCAATTTTGTCCCCAAAGGAAGAATCAATAGAAAATGGTCCTTCGATCGCAATTCAAAATACAGATGTCACCACACAAGGGATACAAGTGTTACCAGAGGCCAATGAAGACACAACGCCAATTGTTGAACCACTACCGCCATCTGTACCACAAAAAGAGGCGATAATCCCTTCATTGTCAACTCAAGCACCATCAGTGTTGCCAGAGGTCATTGAACAGCTGGGACAACAACCTAATATTGAACTGCTACCGCCATCTGTATCACAAAATCAGGCGATTAGCTCTTCAACTCAACCACCAACAATAGATGGCCCATCTAACGAAATTGGAAATAAGCCTTTAGCATTGCCAAAGGTGGATATTGTTAAATCGGATAGCTTGGTAGAGATTTCAGAAACTACCGAACGAAAAATCCGTGACGTAAGTCATTTATTTAAGCCACGAACCACCGTGGCTACCATGGATCCAATGAAACTGAAAATCACGGCTACGATCAAGGATGAAGAGGAAAAATTGGCACCACCTTCCGGATCTACAGCAAAAGAATCTGCAACTATTGCACAACCAGTGTTTGCGGAAATCGTTATTGAGGATATAGAGAAAAATACAAAGTCCATGCATGCAGAGACGAGAGTACAGCGCGACGTTTCCCATTTATTGAGGAATCTTGGTGATCAAACGAATCTGAAGGTTACGGTCAAACATACACAACCTGACGATACAAATGATCAGCATTCCAGAGATATTGCCCTACTATTTGGTGCAGACGATTTTGAGGAGAAGGAATTTGAAAGTAAAATAATCGCTCGGGAAATACAAACCGTAACCAACGTTGAGGAACTTCCATTGGACAAAAACACCATCATATTTAATACGCAAAATGAGGCACCAGTCTCTGATCATACCGCAGAAAATAATATCATGGATGTTCTGCAACGCACACAACGTTCTTCGAATGTAAAATTGGAAACTCCCTTCAACATTGACGATCAAATTGCTGAAGATGATCCATATGTGGAGAATATTTTCATTCCAGACACTCACAGGAAAGTTAAACGTTCCACTGATTCAAATTTAGAAAGTCCAGCGGAAATGACATCCATTGCCTCAGAGGAGGAAATTACTACAACCATTACTCCGTATATTCCAAGAACGACGGTAAAAACTTCTCGAGCTAAACTACCATTGACAGTATTTGCGGCAAGACCAAAACGTTATCGGGAAGTTACAACGAAATCTCCAATGAAAACTACGACCACCTCATCGAGAAATATTATACGCCCGAAACGTGTAAGGAAGCCGATGTAGAGGAAGAAAATTTTTTAAAAATGTATTTGTTGAAATAAATTTATATATAAACTCAGACCTATATATTTTTTTATTTACAGAAAATATTTCCCTAGGCCTTTAATTTCATCTAGAAGAGCTTCCAAAATATACACTAGCACTTCTTAAAATATTGTAGACCACAGAGAATGGTCTAAGAGATATTCTATTCCTATTGCAGACCTTTCGATCCCTGCAATCCTTCTTTGAAAATAGAGTTGGGCATTCTCGATCTTGTTCAGTTCGCTCTACAAAAGGAACTAGATCATTCATATAGTTTCATAGTTCAATCGTCCACGTCAGTTAATTTGGCGAATGAATGGAACGGCTTAGCGGAATGGTTGAATCAAAATGAATTAGGTGGAAAAGAGCAAAAAGGAATTAGATGAACGAGAGAACTGGAGGTAGTACCGATCATTCCTTTTGTGGAATTTTCCCTTCAAACTAATTCGTTCTGGAACGATACAATTCTAAAAGAACCACGTTTTAATTCTTTAAATTCGTGACCGTTCGATGTTTTCAGTTGAATGGGGAATTGGTTCCGAGTGCTATATTTCCTGTTATTATTCTGCACATAATCAGTATATCTGAATCTCTCAGAACGATCTTCTGTCAAATATCTTCCAAAGTGACATTTATAAAATGCTATACATCTATCATTTAGTCAAAGTCGAAGGAACATTTCAACGATCATCGGCAAGTAACTATGAACAGGTTTTTGGTTCTTGCAAATGAGCCACAGGAACCCTTCCAGATTTCAGATTCTTGCAAATAAGCCAAAAGAACCATTTCATTATAAGAGCTAAATTCTAAAGAAGGTTTTACAATTTCCTGAAGATTTTCTAACCGAGTAGAAATATTGTCTGAGGATTTTACAATTTTTCATATATTTTGGGGACTCCTCCCGACTTCTGGAACTTCTTAAATAATCCATTTATTTACCTCTGTTAACATTTTCCTTCCTCTCATTTATGTCATACATTCCCCAACGTCCGCTATGAAAGCATTTGAGATAAATGCTTGGCTTAATTAAATTTACGAATTCTAACATTCTCCGTTTCAAGATTAGAGAACAGCAGAGAAATGGGAGCCATCTGAAGTCAATTTGATGTCTCAAAATTGAAATTAACCCCTTTTTTTCAGTTGTTGTTCATTTGGCAGTGGAAATTTCACATGTGGTCGAACCACTTGTTGTCCTCGTCGCAGATTGGCATGCAACAACATTTGGCAGAACATTGGCCATTAGAAAAAGAAAATAAATCGCCAGCATAGAACAGGTTTTTTTTCCTCGGCAACGAAAGAACCCAACAGCTTTTTGAGATAATTCAGGCACGCATGACAAATTTAACAAATGTTATTCATACGAAAATGGCCATCCTCCTCAGTCACCTATCTGCCAGGTTGGGCAATTTGTTTAAACATGAGATCAAGCGGTGAAATGGCATGGGATGAGATGGGACAGAAAAAAAAAACTGGGTGATTTGTTGGCATAACAACGAAGGAAGGAAAAAAACAAGCAAACGACATTAATATGATTAATTTAGGAATAAGAAGGAAGAGGAAGATGAAAGCCGCTAATAATTGATAATGATGTGGATTTTTGGGTGAAGGAAATCGACAAGATATTTGCATTGCTTTATAAAAGCAGCGAATATTTGTATAAAAAATTAATTAATTTTTGTTCTCAATAAATAAATTGGAAATTTCTTAACGCAGAGACCTTATAAGAGATTCTATAATTTCGACAATAGAGATTTATTTGAAGTTTAGGAAAAAGAAAAGCTGTTTCAAAGCGAGGACTCTTTGTAGGCGAAGAAAATCATGAAATCAATTAATTTTTGTTCTCAATAAATCATATTAGTAGGAATATCCCCCAAACGTTTTTTTTGAACAAAATATTATTTCAAATATCTAAGTGAAAAAATAGTGCTATGTCTGAAAGAAATGTTATAAAAATCTGAATATAATAAATTTTAAAAATCCTCACTTGAAAACATAATCTTTAAGAAGCAATAATTTAAATGTTTTCCAAAAAATGAAAAACTATTCTTTAAAAATACTCAATTAAAAAAATTGTTTCGACAATATTAAGCCTAAAAAATATTTTCAAAAACATCAGGCTTATTATCACGATTACTATGCGGAAAGTTTTGAAAGAAGGAAATAATTATATATTAAAAAATTAAATAATTTTTGTTCTCAATAAATAAGTAGATAATTATAAATGGAGAGACTCGCTAAGAGAATCTTTGATTTCGGCCATAAGGATTTATTTCCAGTTTAGGAAAAATGACAGCTGTGTTGCCTAAAAAGTTTCCAGGCGAGTTTATTAGAGTTGGGTAGTTCCGAGACGAACTACTTCATTGGAACTATTCCGAGAAAGGAACGATCGGAACTAGTTCCAGTTCTTTAATTAATATAGTTCCAGTTTCTGATCTCGTTCTTTTTTCTTTTCCTTTTTTTCTCGTTCTTTTTTCTGAACTATGTGAGCAAAAAAAAAAAAAAAAAAAGAACGATGAAAGAGAGAGATTCAAAGGAACTATGTAGGAGTCGAACTATATGGAGCAAAGGAACTATTTTGAGCAAAAAAAACTATAAAGCGCAAAGGAACTGTATGGAGCAAAGGAACTGTATGGATCAAAGGAACTATATGGAGCAAAGGTACTATATGGAGCAAAGGGATTATTTGGAGCAAAGGAACTGTATGGAGTAAAGGAACTATGTAGAGCAAAGGTACTATATGGAGCAAAGAACTATATGAAAAAAAAAAAACAACAAAAAGAACGATGAAAGAGAGAAAGGAACTATAAAGCAAAGGAACTATGTTAAAGGAATTATATGTCTGAACATGGAGCAAAGAACTATATGAAAAAAAAAAAACAACAAAAAGAACGATGAAAGAGAGAGAGATTCAAAGGAAAGGAACTATGTAGGAGTCTGAACAATATGGAGTAAAGGAACTATGTGGAGCAAAGGAACTGTATGGATCAAAGGAACTATATGGAGCAAAGGACCTATTTGGAGCAAAGGTACTATATGGATCAAAGGAACTATATGGCGTGAAGGAACTATATGGAAAAAGCGAAAAAAAAACAAAAAGAACGATGAAAGAGAGAGATTCAACGAAACTATGTAGAAGTCTGAACTATATGGAACAAATGAACTATTTAGAGCAAAGGAACTATATGGAGCAAAGGAACTGTATGGAGTAAAGGAACTATATGGAGCAAAGGAATTACATTAAAGAACTAGTTCCTTTTTACAAAAGGAACGAGAAAGATCGAACCGATAAGTGATCTAGATTGCCCCACTCTAGGGTTTATAAGACTCTTTTTAGTCGAAAATAATCATGAATCACTTAATTTTTGTTTTCAATAAATATTATTTGTCGGAATATACCCCCAACAGATTTTTTTGAACAATATGCTGATTAATTAACAATATGTTGATTATTGATTCATTAGTAGGATATCTTATCAACAAGATGGCGATCCCTTAGTAGCTTTTTTTGGTTTCCTTCTTTTTTGTTGAAAAATCTGTGAATCCTTTAATGATAGTTTTCGGGCTATAGAAATAATAGAATCTCTTTTGATCAAGACTTAAATCCTTTAATAGGAACAAGAAAAGAGGGACTCCTATAATATACTTTCGTTTGAAAAGGATCCCCTAATTTCTTATGATATTTTATTGAGGCCAATAATCGTGGAAGAATTATACAAAATTTATTAAGGATTTTCAAAGGCCAATAAGTGTGAATGTTTTAAATAATTTTTATCCAGGACTAAAACGACAAAAATCATAACATGAAAGAACCATATTCGTAATTTTTTTAAAACGTTTTTATCAAGGTTCAAATGGACAATAGATGGGATTTCTTTAGCAATTAGTATCATGGACTAAGGACAATAAGCGAAATTTTTTTAAGAAATCAAGGACCAAATTAAAATTTTTTTAAACAATTTTTGTCAAGGACTAAAGGGACAAAAAGTATAGATTTATTAAACAATTCTTATCAAGACCTAAAAGGAAAATAAACGTGGATTATTTTAAAAATTGTTATAAGGGACTAAAAGGACAATAATCGGGGATTTTTTAAACAATTTTATCAACGACTTAAAGGACAATAAGCGTGGATTTTTTAAACAATTTTTATCGAGGACTTAAAGGACAATAAGCGTGGATTTTTTTAAACAATTTTTATCAAGGACTTAAAGGACAATAAGCGTGGATTTTTTAAACAATTTTTATCAAGGACTTAAAGGGCAATAAGCGTGGATTTTTTAAACAATTTTTATCAAGGACTTAAAGGACAATAAGGGAATTTTTAAAATAATTTTTATCAAGGACTTAAAGGACAAAACGGTTTTTTTTTTAATAATTTTTATCAAGGACTAAGAGGACAATAAACATAATTTTTTTAAATAATTTTTGCCAAGGACTAAAAGGACATTAAGGGGGATTTTTTAAACAATTTTTATCAAGGACTTAAAGGACAATAAGCGTGGATTTTTTTTAACAATTTTTATCAAGGACTAAAAGGACAATAAACGTGGATTTTTTAAACTAGTTTTATCAAGGACTTAAAGGACAATAAGCGTGAATTTTTTAAACAATTTTTATCAAGGACCTAAAGGACAATAAGCCTGGTTAACAATTTTTGTCAATAAGTTTGGGGTTTAAATCAAAGTAAAAAGTACTTAAACGATAAGAAGCGTGATTTTTTCAAACAAGTTTTAGCAAGGATTTTTAGAACATTTTTATCAAGGACTAAAAGGACATTTTTTAAGATATTATTTAAATACTAATATGTGTTGGTTTTATCGAATTTTTATTGAGGACCTAATGGAAATTTTTTAAACAGGCGCAGGTCCTTTTTTTATAAAACACATCGTCAATAGGAAAGTAGCCTCCAAGGGACTCTATTAAAATTAATTAGTATCAACCTGCGACCATAGACCTCCCTCTACAACGATTTGTCCTTT